TAGGTCATATAAATTAGAGGGAATTATCATGTGTTAGTATTGACCTTTCCATTCCAACATTGTAAATTTAAATATTTTAGCTTTATGTTTTCAAGTTAATAACTTGGTATTTATTATGTTTTTAAAGTTTCTATAATTCCACTTTTTGATCTATCTATATTGAACTTGTAAAAGGACTTGCAAACATTTGGCATGCCATGGTCATGTGATACATACGCCCTATTACGTACGTACGTACGTACATGATTTCAAAATTTTCAGGGGTTGTAAAGACAAAAAATACATCAACCTTAGATCAAAATATTCTTTTTTTATTTATACTGTATTTCTGTATATATATATACTTATAAGTGCATGTATATACCTTCTGACAAGTATTTATAATGGGCTATGTACGTAAATAAAAAATGAAAACTTTGTGGGTTCACTTTATAAACAAAGCCCCCAAAAAGTCATTATAATTTCTCTTTTGGTTTAACTCGAGCGATCAATTGACTATCCACCTCAATAATAATAATTATTCACAAAAGTGAATCAATTTAAGTGTAAAATTTAATTTTACTCTGTTAACCTGGGTGAAATAGTTTTGCCTCAAGGAGCCATTATGTGTTAGTTTTGCATGGCAAGAACTTTCATAACGATATTCAAAATGAATTAAATAAGATCGTAACTGAAAATGGCTTTTGTCATGAAAAACAACTTTTGAAATTCATCCCCAAAAAGAAAAGACTATTAAAAAATAGTAAAATCAACTTAATCTTTAGGCAGCTTTAATGAACTCAAATCTATTATATATATATATTTATTTAATTTATTTTACTTCTTATAATTGTATATAAAATTCTTTTATTTAATCTTTAGAATTCTAATTCTCACGGTGAGTCTCTTAAAATGGCTAACAACCCTGGAAGGAGTTACAGCCGACGCAAAAGTAACACCTTGTTAACTATATCCAAAACCTGCTGGAACACTCGGTGACCGCGAAAAAATAAACAAATACAGAAATATGGCAAGAAAAATACGCAAATATGTCCCAATATTTTACTCGTATTGGTATTTTTATTACTAATCAATCACTAATTTGGAAAAATCAAGCTTCGAATTTTAGAACATAAGAATCCTAGATCTGCTACACATCCTTCTTATTTTATAACGTAAAAATATTTATTACTGTCAACACCAAAAGTAATTTTTTTATACTTGCTGGTCCATCGGCTGGTTTTTCGTTAAAACAATTACTACAAACACGGTAGTCATTATTATTTGCTACAACATACCATGACTGTACTACAACATGTTGCAATGATAATGCTACAAACGTAACGTAACTGAAGTAGTACCGCCTCAAAAATGCCTGCATCTTTATTTATCGTTATCGTTATTCGCTGTTTAAAGAAGCTACAGCTCAAGATGCGTCTCAATGATGTAGCTCGTCCAAAATTTAAGCTGCGGTTCCATCGACCTGAGTCGGCTCGGCAGGCTATGGTTGGCTGATAATGTTCTTCGGATAATTGATAATATTTTGGAATATAGATTTTTATATCAATTAAAAATCTAAGCCAACAAATATGCAAATTATTACTCATGATATCGGTTCCTAAAGCATAAATTTCGAATGTTAAATTTATAGAATACGCAATTATCTCATAATAAACTGTATAAAAAATGAAAATAAAATAAAAAATGTTCATTATTTTTTATAGCAGCTGAATCTGCCATATCAGAAACAAGCTGTAGAGCGTATTATTAACAAACGAAGTATCAAATTGATGTTTTTTGATGTCTTTGAAGTACCATAAATAAGATTAATTAGAGGAGCTTCTGCGTGGAACTTGATGGATTTTTGAGAATAATTACAAGAAACTTCGTAATAACACAGAGTATTTTGCCAATTCAACAATATAAATATAAATCAAGCAAAAAATTTTTCAATTCAACCATAAAAAATGATTGTAGAAAAGATTTATTTTCTAGTAATTTCTCATATTTGGAATCTTTGAATTGTACCGTTACAAATTCAATGGGACTTCAATATCATTGAACGTTTTCATCCGCAAATTCGTCGTTTCGACTTCATATTAACTCGTATAATTAGTTTCAGATGGTTATGAGTACCATTCTTGTTGTGAATGGCCAATATCCTGTCTATTATAAAGGAGGATCAACTACAATACATTTGCACGGAATTTTTCAAACTCAATGTGGAATTCTTTATCGGATTTTTTTCATGTATGATTTTAGAATAGGAGTCTCTGTTGGTGGGCTACCAAGTTTCAATTTTATTTTATAAACAACTGAAAAGTTCATAATTTTGAAAAAAAAAGGTATTCGCATCTTTCTGGCTCAGCATATTGATTGCTTAAGAGGATCTTTCATCATTCACAATCTGGATGACCTCAACTTGCACGAATAAGACATATGACTACATTATCGAATTGACATCACTGGTTAACTAGCAAACTATTATTCGAACTTTTAGTTTCGGGTTATGCTAAAGTCAATGTCAATAATTATTGAGCTTATCCATTTTCAACATAATAACCTCATATTTCCTCTTATTAGCGAAAAAGGTCAATATAAATTGCTAGTAGGATCTTAATGCAATCAGAATTCCGAATTAGCTGTGTATAAGGTTTTCGAATAATAAATACAAGGTAAGCATGATGAGAAAAACGAACTACATTCGAGACCAACATTATTCACGCACGTACGTACGTTAATGGGTAGGTTAGTCATGCCATAAAAATGTTGCGATCACTGACCATCAAATTACGCATTTGGGTCATTTGCTCTATTTGATACTTGATTTCAATCGTGATTTTCTAGCAAATGACCCATTTTGAGACCGCGACATTTTTATGGCGTGACTAACCTTATTTAATGTAACCTCGATTTTGATTGGGATCGACTAAATTTTAACCCGCATTACGTAATTTTTTGGCCGGAATTCCTTTGCATTGAGGCAGTATCGTAAGGCTTATAATAAACAAAAGAAGTTTGCTAAAAGGAAAAGAAACCGAATTTTGTAATGAACTACCGGAGAATAAAAAAAATTCAGGCCAATTCTCATTTTTAAATGTGATAAAATTAAACATCTGAAAAAATTCATCCGATTAATAAATCTTTTCCTTCATATATGTGCCATTGGAGGTTCGTGAGAACCAAATATCCTCCTCAAACATAGTCTCTCTTGATCCGGGAGTGCGCACCTTCATAATCTCTTACGACCCATTTGATTTGGTATACGAGTTGATTTAATCGTCTCTGCAAGCGACAGAACAAATTTCAACATGATCTACCCGTGAAACTTGGTAGGAATTATAAGCGAACGAGGTACATCTTATGCAAAAAGATAATTCGTATTCAAAGAAGGATTCGGAGCTTAATTGATGAGATTCATTATAAACTAGCCAAATGCCTTGTGATAATTGACGAACCGTGCCTCTTCCCATTTTCGAAGCCACCGAGATGCGCTCGTACTATGCATCTGTCACACCACCGATTCAAGAAATTCTTACAACATAATCTCGCGAGTACAAAAACCGGATTGTCATTTGTGACGAAGTTATACTTCCAAAATTTGTGGTATTTGCGGATGGATCGTCAACGTCTGGCGGAAAAAGATCTTCGCCTGCGTTTCGTGTGGTACAACGTGCCAGAACATCCTCTTGCGATTCTTGTCCGAGTCGAATCCTGCAGGACTCGACGTTAGGGACTTGACCCCGGTCGTTCGTTAACCATAGAGACGACTTTATGATTAAAGTTTACTAACTTTATTTATAAGTGTTGGGTTTAACATCAAGGACACTGCAGCCATATCCGGAAGGGGAGTGGATCCAAGATGTTCCATTGTCCATTCAAGAACCTAACAGGATCTTACAATACATTTCCATATTTGAACGTGATCAGAAATGTGAGGTTTGATAACCGTAAGGGATGCATGAGTTAAAGTTTCCATCACCGCATATTTTAATAATCGTGCATATGTTCTGTATAAATTTAGGATAGCAGTTTCACCAAGTCTCCTCCATTTGGTATATTAACATTCGCTTTTTCCATCCAAGTGGTTTCTAATTTTTATTCTTGTACGTACGTGCGTACGTTGATGATTATTGACCTTGAATTATCTTTCAATTATTCTCACAATAATGACTTTCAGCAAAAAAAATTTGACTCCAAAAGAATGTATGTATTTCATATCTATTTGAAAATTTATTATAAACTCTTCACAAAACTTATATTTTATAAACTTTTTATGTTCATTATTATCAGTAATTCATGAATATATTAAAGGAACAAAATGGAAAGATGATAAATCATTAATTCAGAAATTAGATTCAATCGATGCTCATTCAAGTGTTTCCAATGTTTCAGTAAGTTTTGTTACTTCTTTATCTTTTATATATATATATATATATTTTACGATTAAATTTTTGTCCTTATAACTACATTTATAAATGCAGACTCTTCATATTCCAAAGTATTCATTTATATCTACAAACGTCGGATCAAATGACTCTGATATAATTACATTACCATTATTTATTGTAGTTATTGCCATTGGTTTTGGGATTTGGTTTTTTTATGGTGACTTATTATACATTATATACAGAATGTATATACTAAATGATCTTAGCCCTACCGCCGTCAAGGAAACAGAACAAATTGTGGATTAAGATAGATTTATTTCATTTCAAGTGTCAACGTCTATTATGGACCATTGTGGACCATTGCTGAAAAAATTAAAGAAGAGTAATTGTTAACTTACCATGTATATTGACAAGTAGACTTTTCATCGTTATAAATAATATATTAAAAGGTTTGATATTGCATCACATATTCAAAAAAAAAAAAAGAATTAGCATATAAAAGATAAAAAGATTACAATTTAATATTTAATAAAAATAGTCTATTAACTCCATAATAATACAGCAAATTTATCTATTTAATATATAACAATTTGTATTATTAATTGACTTAATAAATAATTACACTTTAGTATGTTTTTACTTTGGTATATTTACTATTAGAATAATAATAGAAATTTAAAAAAGTCTAGAAGAAAAAAAAATAATATTAAGAGAAAAAATTTAAAAAGGGTTAGAAAAGTACTAAAAAAAAGGTAAAAAAAAAACATTCAATACCGTAGTTTATTCAAAATCTTGCAAATTGTTTAACTTATAACGCAAATATAATTTTTCATTTGCTTTTTTTTTTTCTTCTTTTTTCTAAAATGGTTTTTACAGTATAGTCAGATTTTATTAATAATTTTTAATTTATTAATAGGTGTCGGGGATGGTGAACTATGAAATTTTAAAATTTTTTGGGCGTTTTTCCAGATTTTTTTTTATGGTTGTAAAGAGTATAGGTGGTTTTTAGTAGGATTTATATTTTTAAATAGGGACCCTAAATTTCAACATCATCCCCGCAATATTGCAATAGGGATTGGAACCATTATACATTTAACCGCCTTTAACCGTTTATTTATATTATATGGTTAAACGAGTAAGGAATTTTATAAACGATTAAAAACTGTTAAATTATTCGCTTAACTGTTTTTTAAATTTATGCGATTAATTGTTTAATAATCGTTTAATATCTCACGTAAATATTCATGTTCTTACTGTGATGAAATGATCATATTTGTAATTCAATTACACAATATTATAATTTTTCGAAGTTTGTCATAGTGAAAACTTAAATATTCACTTTTAGAAACACTCGTATATTAATGTATTAAGAAACTATTTATCGTTATGTTATAAAAAATTTTATACTCTGAACTTAGCTGATCTCCAGTTCCTAACGATGGCATTTATTACGGTTAAACGGTTAAATGGTCAAATGATTATATGTGATTAATCGCGTAAGTTGTAATTAAGCGACGCGATTAACCATCAGCATAATTTGTCGCAGTTCCAATCCTTATTTATTTTATATATGAGTGCCGTCAAGGGTTCACTAATTTCTCCCCACACTTCACTATCGGAGTACCATAAAATTGATTAATAACATTGATATTCCGATATGTGAATAGTAGAACCAATCAGAAGTGTGGGGAGAAATTAGTAAACTCTGCCGTCAAAGGAAAACCTACAATCGGGCTTTCAAGTACAGTTGGCTATCTGTATACCGTCTATGGTACTGTAAATTTATGTCCGATGATAGAGTTACCATAGACGACACACAGATAACCAACTGTACACAAAATATACTCGAAAGCCCAATTGTAGGTTTTTCTTTGGCGGCACTCATATAATAAAAGCACAACTAGTTATACATATACATATAACTTTATAACTTTAGTAATTATTTTTTAAGTAGTATGTTTAGAGGTTTATACTAGTTATTATGCTGTATTCATAAATTATTCATTTAAACTTAAGTAAAATAAAGTATTAGTAAAATATAATATTTGATTATAGATATCTTTGTATTGTGAAATCCCAAAAGTTGCGATACTTAAATAATCATATCTTTGTACTATAAAAATCTAATTATAATATTAAAGAGATTACTACTGTTATAGTTTCAAAGAGATGATGAGAGAGAATCAATTCAAACTTAAATATATAATCTATAAAAAAAATAGCATTATTTAAATTATTATTAAAAAAATCTTATTAAAATTCTATGATTCAAAATAAATATGCTTTTGCATTATAAAAATTTTCAAAAGTTGCATTACTATTTGCATTATAAATTAAAGAATCCAAATTCTAAAATTTAAGCCTTGTATAAAATCTGTAAATTTTAAAAATAGTATTACAAGTAAAATCAAAAAAAATTTAAATCTCTTATTAAAAATTATAAACAGTTTGCTTTTCATAATTATTTATAATCTATCTACTGTTATAGATTCTAACTTATCTATTAATACTAATACTAAAGTATCTATTATTATAGATTCTAAAAATACTAATTAAGGAGCTAACAGAAAAGAGCTAATATATACCCACCCTCTTTTCCTCTCTTGACACCCCCTACTCTCTTTTATACCCCTTTTACCCCCCTATACCTTTTTTTTACTCTCTCTTTGCCTCTTTTACCCCTCTCTTGGAGGTAAAAGAGGCAAGGGGGGTATAGTATGATAAAAGAGGATATAAAGAGGGTAGGGGGTGTCAAGAGGAGAGAAAAGAGTGAAGGTATATATTAGCTCTTTTCTGTCAGCTCCTTTATTATAATTATAATAAAAATAAATATATAATATATTGCTTTTCTTAGAGTTAAAGACTAATTTGACTTTAACTTTATCAATCTTGACTAACAATACCAAAAAACTATTATCTTTATAGCTTTATTTTGAATTTAAAATCAAAAAATCTAATAATTTACTACAATATACAAGAAATATAATATTAAATTTTCAAATAAAACTAGAAATTTAAGTTTAAAAAGATATTTAAATAACAATTATCCTTTAAACTGTTTAATCTAGACAAATTTGCAAAAAGTATTTATAATTTTTTAAATAAAATTAAAATTATTAATAATATAGGATATATTTTATATATATAATATTTTATTTGAAATATATTCTATAAGCTTTATTATAAAATTTTTTTAATTTTATTAGAAATCTTTAGAGTAATAAAAATTTAAAGCTCTTG